CCGCCGGTCTCCAGGGTGAGAGCTTTATTTTGGTTTTGTTTTCATGAGTTGGGTGCATTGGGTTGCAGGTACCACCTTGGGAACCTCGTGGCTTAGCCCGGAGCCTTTGTGCAGGAGATTTTGTGATGGGAGAAGGACCCCAATGGCTTTCTCCTCCTCTTCCCTTCGCCATGGCAGAAATTTGTACTAACTTGACAGCTTTTTTTCATACAGAACAGGGCTGCTTTTCTATCTACCATCACACGTGTACTTACATACCTTCAGTGGCCAGCGAGCCTCTGAAGGTCCTCAACTTGTTTACTGGGGGGACGGACGCCCCTCTCTCCCCCCCTCCCCTGAATATTTCAGTGTTAAGAGCGGTGCAAGACACAACCGCGCGCTTCGACCGCAAGCTGGGGTGGGAAAGGTCCCTCCAGGCTGGAGCCGTGTCCTCTCCTGCCCACCCTCGTCGATAAGTTCTCATTTCGTTCGGTTTCCTGGTGTGTATTGAAATCGTTGCGAGGGGTTGTGCTCTGCCCGCTCGGGAGCTGAATTACCTCTGACCCGCGGAGAGGGGCAGCCCCTCTTTGTCGTCGATGTTGTAGTGTGCGACCACGCGGATGGAGAAAGGTAGTCTTCTTTTGTTGTTGTTGTTTTCTTCTCCCCTCCCCGGTATTTCCGATTAGGTTAATGCACTCTTGTGTGCCCAGCTGGAAAAGTGTAGGCGTTTTTCCCGGTCGGTGAGAGGGTGGCTAGAAGAGTTAGTGTAATACCTGCTGTAGCTGTGTCTGGCGCAGCCCCTTGCGCTGGTATGGGTGATGTCACGGACTGTAAGGATAGGTAATGTCCATGAGCTGTAATGGCATGATGTATCTTTACCAATGATGTCATACTTCACAATAAATGTTTAAAAAAGAAAAAAAAAAGTTACCTGAAATTTTGTTTATTCTGCACCAACAGGTCTTCAAAATTTATCCAAATTTTATTATTTTATCAGGAAAAAAAAAAAATTGTGTAGATCGAATACGTTAAGACAGACAACAAGTGATGTAAATTGTTGAATAAAAATTTTAAAGTTTGTGGGTGTCAGCGTGACTTTCTTTTTTCGCGCTCTCGGGGAGCACCCCTTCGCCCCAGAGATGCCATGTGGCTGACGACTCGACTTGGGGTCGCCCAGGCCTGGTGGCGCTGGCCACAAAGCCCACAAGCAGCATGGTGCAGGTGGCCACGTGTACGCGAGTGCCCGGTGCTGGTTCAGTGGGGTGGGGGGGCCAGGACCACGGTGTCCTTTACCTTGAGTGGGGAAGGGGAGGGCAGGGAGGAAAGGAAGCCACAGAGCTGCAGCGACCAAGGGTTTGGCTGCTGTGTTTGTGCGTGCGAGACAGTCCAGGGATGAACTTCCCTTGGTGTGAGTCCCACCGGGCTTTAGTCCTGCCTCAACTGGGCATGGAAGAGTTTGGTCCCAGCTACTGGGATGGGAATGTGAGACTTCGATCCCAAACACGCAACAGCAAACACCAACCAAGCTGGTTTGTCTTTTTCTTTCAGTCACATTTATTGGCAATTGTGGCAGTTGGTACCGTTTGGGAGTGTTGTTCCATAAGCAGTTGCAGTACAAGAAGGGGTGGTTATTTCGGGAGGGGAGTATTAGCACCAAAAGGGAGCCGGTGAGCTTTAGAAACCTTGCAGAGATGTACTGGAAAGTGAGGAGCTACTGCTGGACACGCCGGATGGATTGGATCTGGGAGGTCTGGGCGTGCGAACCCCACTCTCTCCAGTGCTTGTAGTCTCCTCCGTGGTGGTCGGCCTCCAGGACGTACTGGTAGCCACGGTACCCAGGATACTGGTAGCAAACCCAGCTGGAAGAAAAGGAGTCGTCAGGCGGCCATAGGGGGGACAAGAGGTAAGCAAGGGGTTTATGGGGTGTCCCCTCTCCAGCCGTGGGCGCACAGCGATGGCAGCAGTTTGTCCCTGCTGCTCGTGGCCCTTTGCTCATCACTTACGCGCCGCACTGGATCTTCATGGAGCCCACTTCGTTGTTGGCCCAGCCCATGGCCTGCAGCGAGGGGTAGTCGTCGCTTATCTCCCACTGGCGGCCGATGAAGTTGTCTTTCTCGAAGACAGTGATCTTGGATTCCTTGTGATTCTGGGGGGTGGAAGAGCAGGGAGTGAGGGGGAAGTGGTGCTCCCTCCTGGCGTGGATGGGGATGGCAGGGCAATGGCTGTCCCTCCCTATGGCATTGCTCGGAGGGTTTCCTGGGAGTTGCATGCGCAGCCCAAGGGAGGGAGGTGTTCAGATCCTGGGCTGGGGTTTTTTTTGGGGGGCTGGGAGGCTGGTTTTCCCAAAACCCAGGCATCTGGAGGTGCTCAGCAGGGTGGTGCTGGGCCAGGACAGGGGTTGGCCTGAGAGGTGTCAGTGACAGTGATGCCACAGCTACCGTCTCAGGCTGTCTGTCCACCCCTGAGCTCTGGCCATGTGCAGTTGGTCCAGAAGTTCCCTTAAAAGTTTTAGAAAACGGGACAGAAAGAGCAAATCCTACTGGTCATGGGAGGAAGAGCTGAGCCCACCCCAAGGACCTGTTGCCACCCACAGAGCCCCTGGCATGGCTGTGTTTGCCCTCCCTTATCTCGCTCCCTTGGCCTGGACCTATTGCCTGGGACATTTTAATGGGATCAGAGCTGCGGGAACTCCGTCAGAGCTGGGACACTCACAGCGGAGCAGACGGGGCGGAAGGACATCAGGCGCTCGATGTGGTAGGCGTTGCTGCCGCTCCAGGCGTCCCAGCGCGGGTACTCTCCCCTCTCCAGGATGAACTGCTGCCCGCAGAAGCCGGTGTGCTCGTAACCGACCCAGCTGCAAAAGCAGAGCAAGGGCTGCCAGGGCTTCCTGCGGTGGCTCTGGGCCTCCTGCTCAGGGCTGGCACCAGGGCACGGATGTAGGTGTGAGGAAGAGGTTGGGGTCTGGCCTCTGCCCACAAGTCCGGGAGGAAAGGAAGCGGTGCTGGATGTGGGCAGAGCACCCAGGGAGCGTGTAACCATGTCTGGTGACGGGGAGGCTGCCCACATGGCAGCACCAGTATCCCCCGGTTGCAGTGGGTGATGGGGGCCCTTCCTTCAACCGCTCCATGATTATTTACATAGATCAGCATCACGTTCGGATAACGCAGGACACTGGCAGCTGCCCTTCTCTCCCAAAGGCCTCATTTCCTACTTGTTTCCCAATTACAACCTGGCACAGCTGGAAAGACCTGAATTCTTAATGCCCAAACCAGGCAGAACCCAGCTGGCTGTGGGCAGGGCAGGGAGCTGTTGCCTTTCCCAATTTTGGGTCCCCCTCGTTGCTGAAAATGAACACGGAGAGGTGAGAGTGATGCCTCCACGCCACAGGGGACATTCTCCAAATCCTGGTGCTGCCCACACGACAGCCTGCCTGTCCCCAGGGTGGGGAACTTTCCAGGGCACATCCCCTTAGAGGGACTGGGGACAGCACTGGGAACGGGACAGCCGCAGCGAGCAGGGCAGGGAGGCAGAGGCTGGGCTGGGGGCTGGAACGAGGATGGCACAGGCTGCGCAGCCCACAGACCCCCTGCTCCGGGGTACGCAGGGTGCTGAGGGGCTCGCTGAGCTGGGGTGGGTGGCCCAGGGCCTTTTGCCACTGACCAAAACCGATCCCGATCCCGTGTCCCGCAGTTGGCCTCCCCCCGTGCAAGGTGACCAGCCCGATTAGGGACACGTCAGCAGGAGCAGTGAGCTGATTACGGTGTGAGCACGCATGCCGCTGTAATCCCATTAGCACTACAAATCCTAAATATAGCAGCACAAATCTATCTCGTCTGCATCCCTGGCCCCAGCGGGACGCTTGCCGCGGGGACCGCTCCTTACACACAGCATCTCGGAGCAGCTCAGGAGATGTCTCGCCCGTGCCAGGCAAGATTCCCGTGCGCAGGGAGAAGCCTGGCTCTGCTCCCTGCCCCTGTCAGCGACTGGGACAGCCCAGTGCAGGCTGCGGAAAGGCTCCACTCTGGCCCTGGGAGCTGCACGATGCC